AGTCGTACCAAAATTTTGGTACTGAGAAGAAAAAGAGACACCCATTTTAGATTTTCTATGTATTATTTAAGCATTTTTGACTTACGACCATTTCGACTTACGACCTGGATTTGGGTCCCTAACCCCTTCGTAAGTCGGGGAGGAGCTGTATTGGAAAATATTCCAAACAGTTTATAATCATAATCTGAACCTAAGCTAGCGGAGCCTTATATGCAATGTCACCTCCCTCTCCACCTCCTGCTCGGGTATTCAAAGCTAGACGTCGCATTCTGGATTGAAAAAAAAGCCGTTTTTTTTCTAAAATCCAGTTTTTGTGATATAGTCCAGAATGCGATGTCGACATCCCCCTCATCTCCACCCCTCGCGACTTGACATTTGTTTACTGCTCGCTCTAGGGCAAGAGGTGAAGGTGGCAGTGCGTGTGATGGAGGGTGGGGTTGGGGGTTTTAAGAATTGCAATTAAATGCCAGGTAGCGACGTGTCCTCCTAATATTACGTATTTAAGTAATTATTAGATGTTTTAATTGCCTGTATGTCGGCCTGGCGAGTTAATGCTAGGCATTTACATATCTAGGTATAAAGCTAGACATTGCATTCTGGACTATATCACAATTTTTTATTTTTATTTTTTTATAAAAATCGGCTTTTCCTTTACTGCCACATTTATTGAGCCAGCAGTATTTTTAGTAAAAGATCTCAGTTTGTCCTTTTTGTTTATTTATATCATGAACAGTACTGTACTTGCACCAATACAATATTCTCTCATAATATCACTCCATCTAACTCCATGGTCAAGCTTGTTTCTAATTTTTGTATTTTTATTATTAATTGTTAATGCCACAAGCTGTGGTTTGTTTTACTACCAACTGAAGATTTATTATAATGTCTGATGGCTCAAATTCAGGTACAGTAATCTCCCCATTAACCGAAATCTTCGAACCTCAGAACTCTCCAATAGTCAAAAAAAGTTTTGAGCCTTCCGAGAAATTCTTGGAAAAATCTCTCTATTTTGGGCATAGGAATGAATTCTTCAGGAGTTCCAAGAAATTGCATCATGCTCCAACGCGTTCTCGCGTGGCGGGCGCGTGGATGATGTTAGCTGCTTAGGTAACTTAGGTCGTAAGCTCACATGCTTAGTTCATATTCTGCTGCCATTGTAGAAGGTTGTTCCTTCGGTTGCTGCTGTCTTTGCATACAATTTGTGTTGTGCAGTACTGCACCAGGACACAACCAGTTAAGAATACAGTGTTAAAGCAGTGTTAAGATGTAAAAAGTGATAACAGTTATGTATATTGTACTGTACATTTAGTAATTGTGAAACTACAATATGTACAGTACGTACTGTACATGGGAAATTGGACAGTGTACACTATGCCTACAGAATGTACAGTACAGTACAGTGTACAGCTGCTGATCTGATTTTTTGCCTCATTTACACACAATTGCTGGGTCTAAATTGTTTCTCTTACTTTAACAGCACAAAGTAATAACTTCTCTCACTCTGGATCTGTTTTATTCTTTCTATTATTTTATTCTCATATGAAATCAGTTGACAATAATGTTAAAGCAGGGCCTTCCCGGATGGGTCCCACTGGTCGGGAAGGTTGTGAACCCCAGGGCCGACCTGACCATCATCAAGCTACTGGGGCCTCAACTGACGTCACCATGTTTTATTTTTTTTGTTTTTTTGTTTTTTTACTGGGATTAGCCCACCCGGGCACAGGTCACTGACCCACATCTGGGCCTGGGGGGAAAAATGTAATAGTAATAATAATTCATATTAAATAATTTTTTTAATAAAAAATACAAAATTGAAAATAAAATAATACAGTGGTCCCTCGGTTAACGAACTCAATTCGTTCCAGAGGGTCATTCGTTAACCGAAAATTTCGTTAACCGAAATCATTGTTTCAATGGGATATTGGGTAATTGGTTCCAGCTCACAGAAAAGTATATACAAAGTAAAGCCAAAAATGCATAAAGTCAGAAACACTCCTAATATTCCCCTAAATGTCCCTTAAATCACTATATATATCGTACATATACACTAGAACTCTTAAATCACTACTGTAATGTGATACAGGTGATTAATTTTATCTCTTGTGCAAAATATATGACGTTTATATTTAAATTATACGCTGTCTTGCAAGGATTTCAGCAATGCAAATTATATTCTCCTAACTTTAGTCTGAGATATTATATAAGATAAACACTTTAAAGCCTAACGAAAACACCAAACTTTTGTCTGGGAAGGCAGGGGTAGGGAGGGAGGGAGGGAGGGAGGGAGGGAGGGAGCGAGGGAGCGAGCCAGCCAGCCAGTCAGTGTGGGAAGAGGGGGGAGCGGGAGGTGAGGTGTATTTTGATTGACAGATAGTGCGTCTGGTGTAGTATAATTTGTTTATTTACTTGAGTTTTTGTTTTCAGCTCATAAAATTCATAGAAATGACCAGGGCAGAATATAATTTACATTGCTGGAATTCTTATAAGATAGTGATTAATTTGAATATAGACAAGCTATAATTTGCATTAGACATAAAAATTTTAGATCTAATTTAAGAATTTTATTAGAGAGAGCAAAAATTTTATCTTTTGTGCAAAATATATGACGTTTATATTCAAATTATTCGCTGTCTTGCAAGGATTCCAGCAATACAAATTATATTCTCCTAACTTTAGTCTGAGATATTATATATGATTAAAACTGTAAGCCTAGTGCTTTCCCCCAAACGTTTCTCGGGAAGGTGGGGGTAGGGAGGGAGGGAGGGAGGGAAGGGTGACAGTTGGCGCCTGTGGTGTGAAGTATTTAATTGTTAATTTATGTCCTTTAGATTGAGTTTTTGTTTTTTGCTTATAAAATTTAATAGAAGTGACCGGGGTGTATTTAATGTGCATTGCTGGAATTCTTATAAGATAGTGATTAATTTGAATGTAAACATGCCATAGTTTGCACTAGACAATAATTTTAGTTATCATTTTGTACATTATTTTGATTACATGTACAGTACAGCTTTGCCTTTAGGACAGTGTGTGCATGTAAATGAGTTTCAATAAATGAATAAAGTTACATATATTGAGCCAAAAATAATAGTTGAAAAAATTTATGTAGACAGAGCTTGGATGGCTATATTTTAGAATGACCAATATATTTAATACTGTATAAAAAAATGCACAAATATTAAAGAGCACAATTTTCTTGATATTTACTCCATTGGAAACGAGTGTAAACATACAGGAGATTACTGAATTGGCTGAGTACCTCGGCTTATCAGCTGATGTTCAAAACAAAACGTGATTTTCGTAAGGATTTCGTTAATCGAATTTTTTTTCGTTAATCGAATTTTTTTTCGTCAACCGAATTGAAGATTCTTATGGAAGGTAATTCGTTAATATAAGCAGTGCCTTGTGTGTTATGTTTTTCTTGGCAAAGTATTCCTTTAATGCTGGGCACAATTTTTTTTTTTTTAACCAATCGACAAAGAGTCATTGTCATTCATGCTTTACTGTTTGACTGCCAAATTACTGGTAAAGTTTGTTTACACACACATACACACACCTTTGAATGCTCTAGGGTTCTCAGAGTGATATACTGTACAACGAGAGGTTTGAGTTTTAAGTCACCTTCTGCATTACCACCCAAGAGGAGTGGGATACCATCTTTGGCTGCTTTGAGTCCTGGAGCAGCTTTTTCTTCGATGGAAATAAATGTCCGGGAAGGCATTCTCTTCCAATATACAGTAGTCCAGATTCATCAACGTTAAAAACTTGACTGGGCAAGTAGCCGCCTTCCTCGATTATTTTGCATAGTTCTTCTGGATAAGCATTAACAGCAGATGAATTACCACTTGCTGCCTCACCAGTGACTTTTAAATTATGTAATCCGTGGCGTTGTTTGAACCTTGCAAACCAGCTTCGACTCGCACTGAGCTTTTCTGTTTTAGCACTTTCACTTTTACTTAAATTTTTAAGATCATTATACAATGCTCGGGCTTTTTTTAATAATTACAGTGCTCAATGGAGTATGCTTCTGATTTTTGTCTTCAATCCATATACTGTACTTAAAAGTCTCTGCATTTCTTCCATAACCCCGCTCCTGCTTTGGCAAACTCTATTTGCACTTAACGGAGTTGTAGACAGAGCACTTTCTTTAATTTTTTCTTCATTCTTACGAATAGTTTTCACTGTTGATTCCTCCATTCCCAAAAGCACGCGAAATATCCACAGACCTCTCACCTTTTTCATATTGTTTTAACACATATAGTTTCTTGGCTAATCTTATACACTTTCTTTTAGCTTTTGAACCAGCACTACCATCACTTGCTCTCTTGCTCATGTTGAATAGGAACTCAAAAATGCCGTAAAAAACCTGAGAAAGTTTTTCTCCTGTTCCTGTTCAGATGTGTGAAAACAAAAGGACCGTCAAGCTCCGACTCTTGTTTACTGGTGATGCGCATTACCGCTCATTAGCCCAGCAGCTTCCCTTGCCTGGCAGCTTTTTTGTGCAAGGCGCTCTTTTTTTTTTTACAGTATTTTCTCAATGCCCAGAAAATTCCGGGGATGGGGGAGTTTTTTTCCAGGTTTGAAAGATGAAAATCAGGAGCATTTTCTGGAAATTCAGATAAAATTTTTCCATTACCCGGAAAATTTGGGGGATGGGGATATTTTTCTGGGTTCGAGAGATGATGTAATGGGCAATTTCTGGAATTTCTAAGAATATTTTTCCGTTACCCAGAAAATTCCGGGGATGAGGGATCTTTTTTTCTCCGGCTTTGAGAGAGTCATCTCATTACCTGGAAATCTTTCATTCCCGGAATTGCTGTGCCCCAATTGTATCGGCTAACAGAGATATCACTGTATTATTATTATTAGTAATAGTAGTAGAATTTTGATTATTTTTATCATTATTATTATTACTTGTTAATATTACTGTATTACAGGTATTATTACCCTATTATTATTATCATTATTATTATTAATGTCATATTTTGCTAACTACTGTACAGGAAGAATGAAGCAGCCAGTGTGCCAAAGCCAGACTTTGTGCCCAAGACTCTGTCAGAACTAGGAGTGATGGACACATTGAATGGTGGTTTGCCATCTACCAATGTTACAGGTAAGATCCTCAAATACATTTATTCAACTTATCCACCTTTTTAAGTTTCATATAATATCATTCTTAAGTCTTGGTTGGCCTCAAAGAAATTATTATATTCTAAATGTTGATGGTTTTTTAGTCTTTCTGCCAGGAAGCTTTTACTTAGGCTGAGAAGTTTTTGATTTAAGAACTTTTTTATAAAGAATGCAGAATTTAATCTTTTAAATCTTATTTGTGCTTTACTGGTATGAAAGTATACTAAAAAATTATGATTTTTTCAGCTGACATTCAATATTTTCAGTACTGACATGTATATTATCTTGTAGCACAGTTATCTCATCAGTGTTGTTCTTCCTTCTATGATGCTCGCCTGACTCCTCGTTGTATCGGGTTTTGGTGATCCCTAGGTCAGGGTCATTCTTTACTGCTTGTTTCTGTTGCACTATGTGAATACATGCAGGTCCTTGACCATCATTTTTCTGAGGCTGTTGGTGTATACAAGTGAATCACTACTTGAGAGATTGATTTATTATATTTCTCTATATTAAGATATGGAAAATTTTTATTGATGACTCTCCTGCACTTGAAACTATACCAGAATTTATGTCCTTAAGTTCTAGTTGTATAGTTGAGAGTAAGAATGATGTGGTGTGGTGGCTGGGGTGACCAACTGACCATCATCCTTGTAAGGATCGGATAGTGTGAAATATGGTTTGGATGGTGCTCTTCCCTGACCCCTTCCCTCTTCTCGTAGCATTACATTCTTGTAATATGAAATTTATAAGTACATTGTAGCTTCCCAAAGTCTGACATAAAGTAATCAGTAAAAGTCAGGGTATTTATGAGATGTAAATGAATGATTGTAAAATATTGGTGACCAGTCAAAGATCGAATAATGATGGAGTGTCAGGAAGGTGAAAATTGCTTGACATTATTATATATTTGTAGCTCTTTCCTTAAACTTCATGTATGGAGGCTTAATTCAGGTTAATGTTAAAGAAAACAAAATAAAGCTATCTGGGGGTTAGTCTGCTTACCCTTCTGTCTATATATCACAACAGAATTTGTGAAGCAGGTGTTGGAGAATCATTAATACAAAAACCAGCTTCTATTAGGAAGTAGAATGGTGAGGGAAACAGTTCTGAGGCAAGTAACTGGATGAGATTCATTTTGCTTTACTCTTGTCTCGCCATCCTGGGTCCCTGTAAGTTGTTCCTTACAATCACTTTCCACTTCATATGCCTCTTGGTCTTACACCTCAACAATTTCGTGAGAACTGCAACACTCTTATGCACTGTGATATTTTTATTATTAATTACATGTGGTCAAGGTATTTATTCCTCTTTTAACATGGCTGCTGATCCTTTTTGTTATCTGCCACCCATCATTTGATTTTGTGAACATCATTCTGCTACTTAACATTTGTGGCATGCAAGGTTGAGTCTCCTGTATAGCTGGATAAAAACTATCATGGGTAACAAGCAGTAAGTGGTGACTCTTTCCTACTGGTTCCATTTGTTTATACTGTGTATTGTACAATTTACTTATGTATCTTTCCCCATACAGTAACTCCACACAACATTCTCTTTGCACATTTGTTTGCATCTTTTCAGGCATTTATATGAGTATATTTATATTTGTATATTTTTTAGATGAATTACATCTCTACAATTGATGTTGCTTCTTGGGCTGGGCAGAACTTCTCATTCTCTTTAATGAGATCTATTTTCAGTACCCTGTATCTTCTTATCTTCTTTGATGCGCAGGATGGATTGAATTATGCTCAGGTGTTAGGAAATCTAATTACTGTATTCCATTTTTGTCGTATTTTATGTTATGTACAAGATAACTTTCTTCCTATTGAGATGAAGTTCATAATGGTTGCCCCTCGTGTAACGAGGATGGCTGGCCCAAGGGCCACCTAGGCGTAAATTTGTTTAAGGTGTAGAAACTGTCGCCAACACAACAACCACACCCTGAGTTAACGAGCTGCATGACCCAGCGTCAAGGAATAGTCTGAGAAGACCGGACAACTCGCCAACTGAAGTTCATAATCTCTCTCTCTCTCTCTCTCTCTTTCTCTCTCTCTCTTTCTCTCTCTCTCAGGTACAGCGTATATATTTTTGTTCAACCCAGAATGCGACACCCAGCTTTAAGATAAGTTGCATCTACCTGAAATATGTCTTATGTACAGGAAATATATTGTTACATACTGTAGATGAGGCATGGGCAACCTTTCCTCAGTCATGGGCCGCATTATGATTTAGGTATTTTTCTGAGGGGCAAGCCACCAAACTTTATATTCTACCTAACCCGAAAGTAATGTTAATATTATTAGCACAGACAATGAAACAGTTTATGGTCACGTCCACCTTACGATATTTTCAGTTTACAATCGGTATTTTTTCCATTTAGGAAACAAATCCGTCATAGCAATTTTTTAAGTACAGTGGTCCCTCAATTAACGAAATTTCAAATAACGAATTAGCTCTCATAATAATTTTCAGTTCCATTAACAAACAAAACTTCAATTAACGAAAGCCTTATGAGAAACACTCTTTGTTGTGCTGATCAGCTGATGCACACAACAAATTTAACCATCCAAGCTCTGTCTACATAAAGTTTTCAACTAATATTTTTGGCTCATATATGTAATTTTATTAATTTATTTTTACTCATTTACATGCACACACAGTCCTAAGGGCAAAGCTGTACTGTACATGCACCCAAAAACTAGTTCCCTGTGCTGTATATATTATCAATATGTTTACTAAATTTTAAAAGGACTAATAATTTTAATATAAAAAATGCAAAAATATTAAAGAGCACAACTTTCTTGATGTTTACTCCACTGGAAACGAATGTAAACATAGAACAGATTACTGAATTGGCAGACTAGCCCATCAGCTGATGCTCACAACAAAATGTGTTTGTTGTAAGGTTTTCGTTAATCGAAGTTTTGTTCGTTAACCGAATTGAAGATCCTTACGGGAGGTAATTCATTAACCAAAATTAAGTTAATCAAACCTCTCTTTAACCGAGAGACCACTGTATGTATATATATATATATATATATATATATATATATATATATATATATATATATATATATATATATATATATATATATATATATATATATATATATATATATATATATATATATATATATATATATATATATATATATATATATATATATATATATATATATGATCAAACCAAGAATAAATAGATTGAACAGACAGCCAGGCATGAAGGATGAGGTACTATGGAGAGGCAGTCTGTCAACAAGGAAGAGACCTTCTACCTTTGACCCAGGTGACCATCGCTCGTAACCCCACTAGGACTTTTTTTTTACGGGATTAGCTCACCAGGGCACAGGTCAATGACCACATCAGGGCCTGAGGTCAAAAATATGATAATAATAATAATAATAGTAATTAATTAAAATTAATACAGTAGATATTGTAAAAGAAAATTAAACAAAAATATAAAAATATAATAATAATAAAATAATAATAAAGGACCATAAAACAAAAAACAAAAATGGTCAATAGTGAGAAACAATATATGTAAGTTGTGATGTCAAAGTAAGAGAAACAATTGAGACCCTGCAATTGTGTGTAAATGAGGCAGAAAGTCAGATCAGAAACCTAGGACTTGGTCACAATTTTCGTGATGCCATATAGCAGCAGGGTCTACCATTAGACAACACATTATGCTTCCAATATCTTCCCAGGCAGTAGTACCTCCCTGTTTTCTAGCTGCCTACTACCTACTACTTTAGTTAATTCCCAAGTGACCCACTGCCACATAGCAGCTAATCCATCAGACCTCGCTGAATTTGGCCCATAAAATCCCACAAGTTAAAATGTTTATTTTGTTGACAATTTAAAGTTATTTTACTGCTACATTTTCATAGTTACTTACTCTTAGGTGATGAAACCTTAATGAATTGTGTGTGAAGATAATTCTTTTTCATAAATATTGCTTTACTCACTATAAACTGGCTGCATCTACCTGAACTGCAGGCCACATTAAATAGAATTTATTAATCACTCTGAGGACTGCACAAGACATGGTTCAGGCCGTGGGCTGCCCATGCCTGCTGTAGATAAATAGGTAGCTGAATTACAGTTTAATTATGTTGTACAGTAAAGGAGAACTAGAATTGTCCCATAATACTGTACATTACAACATTGTTATATTTATTGTTTGAAAATATACTGTATATACTGTACACTTACTACAGTGAAAGGAAATGTTTTTAAAGGGTGGGCTGAGTACTGGTATGTCAAGCTGACAGTAACTTGGCTTCCATTTATTTTTACTGTATTTGTTAAAACTGAAATTAATTTCAATTTACTTTATGAATGAAATTGAAATTTGATAATACCATACAGTGAAACCTCACTCATTAAAGTTACACGTGGGTAATGGAGAGTCAAGTTAGCCAGTAATTTTAACAGTTGGCAGGCCTGGAGAGGACTGATCCTGAGTTTCCTGGTGCATGATTTAATTATACTGAGAGTTGTAGTAATACTATGAAATAGCCGGTTTTAATTTGCGTGGCAGTGTGTGTGATGGAGGGTGGGGAAGGGGGTTTTGAGAATTGCAGTTAAATGCCAGGTAGCGACTTGTCCTCCTAATATTACGTATTTAAGTAATTATTAGATGTTTTAATTGCCTGTATGTTGGCCTTGCGAGTTAATGCCTGGCATTTACATACCTAGGTATAAAGCTAGATGTTTCATTCTGGATTGAACAAAAATATAATTTACCACCTTAACCACATTGGGATGTTTCAAACCATGATATGCATCATGTTCCATATAGAGAGGACTTGTCAATCATGCTGCCCAGTCAGCCACACCAACTGTTCATATGTAATAGAGATAAATCTTGGATTAAGTTTTGCCAGCTTTAAAAAATAACCAGAGAAAACTGGGAGTATAGTTTTGTTGCCACTGTACACTATATTGACTCTGTGACACCAAATTCTTGGAGTCTGTAAA